CACACACACACACACACACACACACACAAAACTTTTAAGGCATCCTTCTTCCCAAATTCTTATTCAATGTGAACTTTTTTATCCTGAGGTAGTTGGTGCTTATAAACACACACAAGTGGAAGCTATGTCTTTAAAATTAGGGTGAAATATAGGAAGAGGCAAATAAATCAGTGCATTTGAGAGTGTTACACTTTAAGGACTACCCTCCTGAAAGAATTGCTGTTGTTCTCACATGATTCAGAAATAAACTTCCTTCTAAGTCAGTGAATTCATCTGAAAGACAAGAGAAAAATCTAGCAGAGCCATTCTAAACCAGTGATTCATTGACCATGGAAATCTGGCTAGTAGATGTCTAATAAAAACACCCTCCTTCTTCAGTTTAAGAAGATGAACAATTTACTCCACACCCTACTGAACAATGTAGGGGACTTGGAGAAATATAATTTCTTTCTCTTCTTCTAAACACAGAACCTGAGCAAAGATGTTTTGTTTTTTTTTTTTTCCAGGATGAGTAAAGCAATGTTAAGAAATAAAGAAAGCAAAAACTGCCTGAGGGATACCTGATATGTGTGTAAAATGATTTTCGGTTAGGAAAATGAAGATAATTTTTGGAAATTATCTACTAAATTATCTTCTTTGCTTCTTTAATACATAAAAAGTAAAAAAAATGGTTTTTTCCTAAAACATAAGAGTTTAAAGTATAATAAAATAGAATAAAGGCAAAGATTAGAATGAAAATGGAACTGACCAATACAAAAAAAAATGTACTAAATTAAGGGGAAAATCTTGTACTCTAGCTATTTCCAATACTCTTGCCAAAAAACAATTAAAGCTGAAAGGAAAAATGTTTGAAGGCACCAGTGAAGGCATCGGAGAGTAACTGGGACAATCAGAACTTGAGGGGCAAAGACACGGTAGAGTAGGTAGTCCAAGATGAAGTTGCTTAGTGACTAGATTTTCCTTCAGAGTTTGGTGATCTGGACCACCACCCCTAAGGAGAAAGTGGTAGACTTCACCAGGCTCGGGTAACACAGATCAAAGATGCCAGAATATAACTGGAAGGTAATAACAGAAAGCAGAGCCTGAAATGCTACAGCAATTTGCCCTCAAGCCATTTGCCAACTCCTAATCTTTACTCATGTAGAGTGAGAGTTGAAAAAACCAAGCAAGAAAACTCAGTTCCAATGCCAGAGCATGAAGCCAAAATTTCAGCAATCACCTAGTACCAAAGTGACAGAAGTTGGAATTCACGACCCACTGCAGTGGGAGAACCAGTAAAAACATTAGTCTTTCAGTTAAGACATACATAAGCACTATTTTTTTTTTAAAAAAAATCTCCCTATATAGTTAAAAATATAATCAGTAGAAATCAAATATGCAAAATATGAGTTAAGCAAAATAAAATCCAGACCAAATATCAAAATATGACCTTGAAGAATAAGAATAAATGGATTAAGAATTAAGTTATAAAATTACAACTGGATTGAAAACAAACATAAAAGTGAAAAGAAAGGGGACAAGGCAGAAAACAATGAAAGACAAAAATTAGAATGGACAGATATATCTAATTAACAACTGAAATAATACTTGTGAAAATCCTAAAAAATAATCAAATGAAATATAATAATATAGAATGTAAATAATCAGTTTTTTTAAGTTAAATTACTGATTTCTAAAATTCATTTGGGAGGGGAAAACAAATGAAATTTTGAAACAAAAAAAAATAGAAAAAGAAACTGACCTAATCAAATATTAAAGCTCTAATCATCAAAGTACTACTTTGGTGACAATGGTACTGTAATACTATTACGCTATTTAATATTATTATTCTAATAGAACATAGATATAATAGTATGTAAGGAATCAATGTGTGATTAGGACAGCAGAGATTGGGAAAATGTCCACTCAGAATATCTAGGTTTTATTGAAGTAACAACATCCAAACCTTAAAGTCTATAACTGAATACTATAGACTAGGTAATTTATAAAGAATAGAATTTTATTTATCTCACAATTCTGGAAGCTGGGAATTCCAAAGAGCATGGTGTTTGCATCTGCCAAGGGTCATTTTGCTGCATCATAACTAGGCAGAAGGTGTCAGACTGTGAAACAGAGCAGGGTGCAACCTTGGGTTTCTCTCCTACCAAAGCCACAAATACCTTTATGAGGTTACCACCCTTATGACCTTATTTAATGCTAATTACTTCTCAAAGGTGCCACCTCCAAATACTACTTACATATTAATTTAAGGATTAAGTTTCCAATAAATAAATTTTACATAGTCCAACCATAGCAGTTTATTTTTCTTGCTTATGTCACCCATCCTTCATGCATCAGCAAAGGGCTCTCTGACTCTGATATATACAGGTGATAGTAATGTTCAAGATGGTAGCTGTCCTAACTGCTATGTCAGGATAAAGAGAAAGAACAGTGCAGGGTCCTACAGCCATATTTAAATACTCAACTTACAAATGAGGCATG